TTTTAACAACGGTGTCTTTGCCTCAAAGTGGTTCTGAAGCTGATTTTTCCTCTCTAGGTGCCTCTTTTCGCATTTGTTCTCTGTTGCTTGTGATGTTATTTAAGCAGTAAATTGCTTGTAGGAAGAAGATGCATTAGCTTGTCTGTTTTTTGTTTTTTTGTTTTTTAAAAAAGCTTTCAGGTTGGCATACTGCTAACCAGTGACAATTGTCAAGCATTTAACAAGAAGGTTAAGAATTGGTGGAACTTTGCTCTTAATGTCTTACGGTCCATTCAAAGTTGTATTGGCCAGGTTTTATTGATTGTGAGAAGGCAGCCACCACTTCTCCCAAGTTCTGCTCAGGGCTGACTCCCAAGAAAAGATGCGGCTGCCTTAAAAAGTTGTGGGCCGTATGTGCCTACCTGTGTGATTCCTGAGAACTTTTCTGTCTAAAACACCAGGTGTTACTGTAGGCTGTAGCTTTGGAAGCCAGCTCTGCCCTTCTCTGCATAAAGATAAGATCTATTCCTGCACTAAGGAACTCATCTGAAAGGGAAGATCAGATGGGGCTCTGTTGCAATCTTTGCTTAAAAGCACGGCAGGGCTGGAAGACAAGGCCTTATGTAACTCATTGGGAATTCCCTGCAGGTTCATAAATTCACAACCAGCGGGGGAACGTTTGATCAGTAAATGTCTCATTTTTAGAAGACGTTGGGAAACATCTCTGGGTTTCGTGGCAGGAAAAGCCTTACGCTTGGTAGCAACATTAACAGATTGCCACTGGTCTCAGTTGTTGCCTGGAGCAGAGCAGTTAACTGGCAATAGATGGGCTGTGGGAGGATTAAAGAGCAATTGATTAGTTCTTAAAGTGGAACCTTTTTTAGGGCTGAATCCTACGACTCCTGATTTGCACCTGCAGCTTATGGTTTTCCATTATGGGGTAGCCAGAAGTGAAGCTGGGAACTCTCGCGCTGTCATCCCAGGACAGATCCTGCATCAGTGTAGCTCCCTCTTCCTCAACGTTGGCCATTTTAAGACTCGGTGGACTACAGCTTCCAGAATTCCCCAGCCAGCGAGTTTCAGAAACACTGGGGTAGCCACTGTTTGCATCTGATGAACGGAGTTGCAGCTCACAAAGGCTTCTGCCTTTGAATAAAAATTAGGCGTTGGAAAAGGGCCACTTTCTGACCATCAACTCCCAGGGGTTAATCCAGCTTTCCTTCTGCGCTATCACCAAACTTTGCAGTTGACTTAAGAGGCCATCTTGATAGTCACTTCTCAGATGTTTCCCCAGTGCAAAGTTTTGGATTTATTTGTGTACAGGAGGTTAAAATTATCAGGACTATTATTCTGATTTTCTTCCTTCCTTCCTTCCTTCCTTCCTTACCCTTCCTTCCTTCCTTCCTTCCTTCCTTCCTTCCTTCCTTCCTTCCTTCCTTCCTTCCTTCCTTCCTTCCTTCCCCTTCCTTCCTTTCTTTCTTTCTTTCTTTCTTTCTTTCTTTCTTTCTCTCTCTCCTTCCTTCCTTCCTTCCTTCCTTCCCCTCCCTTCCTTCAATCCATCCTTCCATCCATCCATCCATCCATCCATTTCATTTTAGCTCCACATTTATTCAGCTTGCTTTGAAGGCAAACTGCTACTCTTTGGGGCCAACCTCCATGCAGAGTTATGACTCAGCAGGTATTTTAGAGTAGAAGGTTTAATTGTAGGAGGAGTGAGATCTATTGAGCATGAGTCAGATCTTTCATCTAAAGCTCAGTGGAAAGCATGTTTTAGTCTCAGTCTTGAGCATCACGGCATCTGTTTTGTGGTACTCTCCTCATGAATATGCTGTTTTCTCTTTATGGGCCATGCAGTCTTCTAACCTGGTGTTTCAAGCTGGTCCTCAAGTTGCTTGGCAACTGTTCGAACTCACGATGGACCCCCCCCCCCGCATTCCAAAATTTCAGTGCCCCCCTCCACGCAGCCATGTCACCACTGCCTTTCAGTTATTCAATAATTGACTTGCCTTGATGGCCGTTTGCTGCATCCCGCAGTCACATGACCCCAATTTAATGACATTTTGCAAAAAAAAAAAACCATAAAACAAAACGGCCTTCCCTTCTGATTTTCAACAAAAATGCCCCACACCAAGCATGGCTTCTCTTAATGACCACAGCATTCACTGCAAAAAAAAAAAAAAAAAAAAAACTTTCAAGTTAGATTGGTCATTTGGGTGACCCGCTTTATGACTGCAATGGCTAGGCTCCATTCAGTTGTAAGTCCAGGACTACCTATCTTTCATTACAGGGGTGACCTTTGACCACCGACAGGCCCGTCAATGGATTAATCTGATCTATAGAGAAAGTCCAATAGAGTCAATATGATTGCTGCAGTTAGCATCAACTAATCAGGGCCAAAATCTTATCCTTTACTACTGCTCTTAACCACCTCTACTCTTGAAGCAGATCCCTCAAGGGTCAAAATCGATCCACTTCCTTTGCAGTAAATGGCATTACCGTGTGTACAATCACATTCCCAGTTCTGGAGAGCTCACCGGACTAAGCCTCAGATTTCAAGATTAGGTTCCAGAATCTCCAAAAGCATCATTGTGTAAATTGTTCAAGTCTTTCCTTGAGACCGAAATGGATTTAATTTTCTTTTCCCCTTGCAACGATTAACAAGTTCATTTCTAGACTGTGTAAATAGTGGACGGTTATCCCAGAGAAGTTTGCTTTCAAAGAATTAAGGCTGCTGAAGATAATTAAAGGGAACACGGTATTGAATTAACAAATTGAACAATTAACCACCGCAACAGCTTGCCGTCAGAAGTTGTGGGTGCTCCATCACTGGAGGTTTTTAAGAAGAGACTGGACAGCCACTTGTCTGAAATAATATAGGGTCTCCTACTTGAGCAGGGGGCTGGACTAGAAGATCCCTTCCAGCTTGTAGTCTAATTTTGATTCTCCCAGGTATTCTCCATAGATATGTGTTTGTGTGTACGTCTCACATCCTGTGTTTATTTCAAACCCGGAATGTGTGTTGGCTGTCGAGTTGTCATAGAAACAGTTACATTCCTTTCCATGTTCTCTAATAAAAAAAAAAACCCACTGAAATAAAAGTCTACCTCAAGATCTTTTGGTCTGGTCGAAACCGTCGGCTTCTGACAGGCTAAGGTTGACTTGACTGCTGGGCGTGAATGCAGAAAAAGGGCTTATGTCTACGAACGGCTAATGGTTTTTCATCAGTGGAGAAAATGTAAGTCTTCTCAACCCAAACTTTTATAATTAATCCTTCAGGGTGGAGAGATAAAACCATCTGGAGGACATTTTCTTGGCTTATGATTCTTGAGCAAAAGGTCTGTTGAAATCTTGGTTCGGTACCTTGAAGGTGGTTGACTTGATTGACTTCCATTTAGACGTGAGTTTAGGATATGTCTGCAATGTGATGGATATGAATGGTTGGACCTTTAGATATTTTAGTTTCAAACCTCATTGATAGGAAGTCCTCTTTGCTTTCTACCTGTGGCCCTTAGAACTCACCTACAGGTCATATCATTTATAAATTGAGTAATATTCATTGATATAAAAGACCAGAATCCGGTTCCTATAAAAATCCAATCCCTAAATAGTGCAAAACCTTTAATCTGCTTTGGTTTATAGCATTGATGTGGGTTTCCCCCCCCCCCCCGCTTTCAGATCTTTCATTCTTCTAATTTAATCTTTTATTGATCTTTATTCTGTCTTTCTCTTTTCAACTCCCCCGGGAGTTTTCTAGGCTGAAATAATGGCGTGTATTTAAAATAAGGCTTGGTATACTTTGGGCTTGATTGTTGTTGTTTTTTTTTTTAAAAAATCCCTTTTCTCCACTGCATACATTGAAATTCTTAAGAGCCCAAAGATCACACAATGAGTGCTTTGGACCCAAGGCAATGTAGGACTTTCACATGTCGGACAGTGAAGCTTGCGTGACTGAGCCAGATGACATTGCGATGGGAGGAGCAATCTTTTCAAGGAAAAGCGGTGGCATGGATTGGGTCGAAAGATCTCAGCCATTTTGGGTGGAGGATTCTTTTGATTCCAGATCCACATTTGGATAGAGGGGCACGTTTGCAAAATGCCGTTCGGGGATGCCTGCATCAAGGACTCTACGATCAGTTGGATCTGTCTGGTACTTCTTTTTAAATTTGGATTCCCCCTACCTTATCCTCTCCCTTCAGAGAAGGAAAATTCGGTCTGCAAAAATGCAACTCTCCAGTTACACTCCCCACCTGCAGCTGAGCCTGCTCTGAAAAAAAAGACTCCTTTTAAAGAAAGCTACAAGGCTGGTATTAAAATAGCTTGAGGGCAGGCTTTGAAAATCCGGTGAAATGATATATATATATATATATATATATATATATATATATATATATATATATATATATATATATTAAATGAATTTGGTCCCCATACTGCCCTCAACAGCCTGGAAGGATTCTTAACCGGAATCTGAATTCCATTTGGACAAAGTTCCTGAATGGAACATTGGTCATTTCTTGATAGATACTGAAACACACACACACACACACACACACACATTTTACCCCCTTGATCCTAGTGACATCATCTTCCAGCAGGGAGAACAGGAAAATGGGAACCACCATTGGGCAACTGTGTATTGTCATCGGGGTTTCCCCAGCTAAGTTGGTTCGTTGGCATTGGCTTAAAGACTGAGCCTCTTCTTTGAGGTCTTGCCATCTTCTCGCCATCTCACCTGCGCCTGCAGCCCTACAAGTGTCATAAGACCATGCTCATGTGAAGGGGACTCTGGGGGGGAGGGAGGGATGAAGGGGGGGGAGGGAGGGATGAAGGGGGGAGGGAGAGGCCAGAGCGACGGGGGAGACATGTTCTTCAGATGCATTTTGACAGCGCAGCTTTTCGGCGATGCTGTTGCCGCTGCCTTGGACGCTCGGAAAAGCCCTCTCCAGACGCCACCGGCTCGCCCTAGAGAGGCCTGGGGATTAATATGCTCCTGCTTTACACCTTTTTCATCTCCTTCTCAGAATCAATCTATCGGCGGGGCGCCAGAAGATGGAGGAAGCTGTACCGAGTGAATGGCCATTTGTTTCAAGCCAAGCGCTTTAACAGAGTGAGTACTGTGGTCGGAGGAGACGCTGGGGTGAGGGTGGGGGCGGAGGCAGGGGTGTGTGTGGGGGGGGGTAAGGGAATGGGTGGGGGAAGAGCAAAAATTGGGGGCTGCTTCCCCCCCCCCCAGGTGATCCTTCTCCCAGCCTGGAAAGGCAAAAAAGAAAGAATCAATTCAGCTTTCGGCTGCAGACAGTGATTGAATAACAAGCTTTCAGTTCTGCTTCTGGAAAGAGAAAATCCCAGCGCAATTTCCCCCTCGAATGTGTGTGTGTGTGTGTGCTGGTGTGTTCAGAGGATTTTTTTTTAAAAAAAAATTCTGGTTTTCCAGCTATCTCCCTGATGATACACATGGATTTTCTTCCCTGTTTTTCCTCTTTTTCCCCCTTATTGTTTCTCTGGATTATAGCCTCAAGTTGCTTAGAATGCTCTTAAAATGCAGGGGGGGGGGGAGCTAAATAGATGTGACCTAATTAATGACACCATAAATATTTCTATCTTTGGAGCAGCTGCCTGTGTGTGTGTGTGTGTGTCAGAGACACAGCTGTGTTAAAGATCTGACTTCATCTATAAAGCAACCCCCCCCCCCTTAACCCAGCCCTTTAATGCTGCAGAATGTAATCAGTATTTAATCCTTGTTTGGGGGGGAAAGATTTGTGCATGTTGATAAACGATTGGATGAAAGGCTTATTTAACTGTCAAGATGGTATGGCTGTCACTACTTCTTGATACTGTACAAGAGGAGGCTGGTGTGCTAGTGTGGCTGCCCTCACACAAACACACACTCGTTATCTCTGTTGCAACATTCCATCAGTTGAAGGGGTTCGGAGCAAAATTAGATTTTTTTTTTTTTTAATGGCAGCTCACATTTTTAACCTCCTTCCCGGTGATCGAAGTCTTTCCTGATTCTGGTCTTGCTATAGACAGCTGGATTGTGTCCGGGTTCCTGTCATATGTTCATTGGTCTTTATTTTAATATTAAAATTGTATTTTAGGAATACAATTAAGGCAGAAGGTTTGAATCGGCAATCTTTGATAGTTTCACGAACCACGGTTTTGTTAAAACGCGCATGGATTTTAACAGCGTTTTCAACAATTAGTGGGTATTTAATTAAAACGGTCAAGAAAAAGCTATTCCCGATTTATTCTGTATGACATTTATTGGAGTTTATAGCTCTTGTTATTCCTTAGGTTCAGATGTCCAGTTTTTCTTTAAAAAATGTTCTCCGTTTTGCAAACCTCTCGTGCATCCATATCAGATTGCTAGGTATAAAGATGTCTAAAAATGTGTTTCTTTAATAATATGGCTGGCTTTAAAATGCAGCTAATGTGTGCCTAAGGAAACTAATCTAGAGCATTAGGCCAAGCATTAATCCAACTGGGACAAGTCAAAATGCACACCTCAGAAAAACAAAAAGTTTCTGCATCAAGTGTGTACATTACAAACATTTTCTCCTACAGAACAAATACATACGTGTGGGTTCATCTACCTATTCATTTTAATAAGCCCTGGGATGGCAATGTAGGGCACGTTTGATTCCAAGATCTGCTACAGTGGCAATTAAGGAATTAAATCAGCATCACAACAGTGTCATAATTAAATTTCAGAAAGCAGGCCTCTGCAGCCTACTTACATCATGTATGTTGTTTAAACATGCTCACATCTGGCAATTAAGGTCTTCTGTCTCAGTCTGTTCTTCTCTATTTAATCAGATTTAAGGGCTGTTTAAAAAAAAGAAAGCACACACACACACACACACACACACACACACACACACACACCTCTTTTCTATTTGAATGTTGAAAACAAGATTTGGAAAAGAATACAAAAGGATTACTTTGTTGCCGCAGTCTCATAATACTTTAAAAAAACTAAAAATTCTTAGGGCTGAAATATTACTCTGAAGTTTTTGGCCGGGAGTTACAAACAATTGTAGGGGGGTTGACAGTTTTTAAAACAAGCGAATAGGCTTGTGGGGGCAGAGCAGATAGACTGTCAAAGCTCCCTCTGTGTCAGGCTTCTCTTGTGTGTTTCAAACCCCCCCCCCAATAACATAGAAATAGAAACATCATCATTGGAAGTCAGTGGGGTATCCCTCACCCCAGTGAAATCACAAATTCCTTTATCAATGGAGGGGAACCCTGCACAATTCTGTACTAGGTCCTACATTTCCTTGATCAACTACGGCACGTTCATTTCATTTATTCCATAAGTAAATTTGTACGCCTCCCATCTCAGTATCAAAGCACTTCGGGTGGCAAAATCAAAACATGGCAAAATCAAAATCTAGTGATGGACATCTGGACTGCAAGATATTCTGCTGATGTAAAATCTACGCGTTGACTTTAGCCCTCAGAAGCATCCCGGATCATTTGGGCATGTTTTTAAATTTTTTATTTTATTTTTCTCAGTGGAAGCATTTGGATAGCTTTTCACGATCCAAGTTCTTGATGCAGAACCCCTTTCCGCAAAGCCTGGGCGATCTCATGGCCCAGACCCCACGCGTGCAGCAGCTGTCACATAAACGGTTTGCTGAAAACACTTGTTTCCCCTCGGTTCCATTTCCAGGGGCTTCCCACATGCCAGCGTGGAGAATCTGTGAACTGGGCCATAGTAACTTGTGTGAAGAGATTGAGGGTCACAGCCAGGCGCTTCCATTCCTCCAATTGCTCTCACCGCCGGAAAAATTAAGGTTTTTTTTTTTTCTTCTGCAAAGGAACAAAAGCACTTTTTATGCTGGGGAGCTTAGCTGCAATTCGACAATGGCCTCAGTTATGTCTAATTTTCCATTCTGTCAGTTGGCCCTCATTCTCTTCTTGAAGGGGTTCAAAAATAATGACATTTGGGATACTCTAAACGTCTTTATCCATGCAGGAGAGCATCAGCCTTCCAAGTACCAAGCTGAAATTCTTAATAATCTACCTGTCAGTTTCAGTGGTCGTTTTACCAGAGCAAATCACTGAGAACCGTTAATATTTTTTTGAATCTCACTTTCCAATCTGTTTGTCCCCCCCAGACACTGTGGGTATGTTATTTTGTTTGGGGAAAGAGCAGGAAAAGTCCTGATCCCATTAGCTCATAGTTTAAGATGGATACGTGGGCATATAATTCAGCAAGAATTACAGAATTCATTCATGGACCCTTATTTCGTTGCCCGCAATGTAAGCATTGGATAGGATGGGTTTATAAATCCAAAGTCATAGTGTAATGCCACTCACACCCATCAATAAACAATCTGGCTGGAACTTTAGAAAAATAGATATAAAATGAAGCTAGATTCAAAAGGGGAAAGTTGTAAGCGAAGTCAAATCGGGTCCAGTAGATTTAAACACTACTCCCTTTCAAAGTTAGTTACAATGGAGAATTCAGTTCTGTCTCGCCTTGTGGACAAAGCAAAGTAGGATGACTCCACGGACAAATTAAAAAAGAGGTCCGGTCTTGAGGTGGTAGTAGGGAGAAGAATTGAAAAAAAAATTAATTTTTTCACTTTCTGACATGGTACAAAGATTCTTACCCCCGCGTCAGAAATTCCTGGATTTGAATTTAAAAACATCTCAAAAGTTTTACAAGATTTATCTGTCAGGGAAATGAGGGTGTTATTTTTTCCTTAATGCTTTCCTTTAGGATAAAAAGTTAGATTATTATCACCGAACTTTTAGCCACAAATTTACCTATTTATATCGATCTGGGATTATATCTAAGCACCAAGGACTCCACAGATCAAAACTAAATGAAGTTTGTCTTTATATGTGAAACATCTCCAGATCGTAGCAGCTTAATTTCCATAATCTTTTATTTCCAAATCATTCCCTGTGACTATTTTAAAGGATGAGAATATTTTGCTCTCAGAATCAAAACTGTTATATTTCATTATGTCAGTTACTGTAATACAGTTCTGTAGCCAGGTTCCCTTGCAATCCATGCCCAGGAAATGATTGGAAGAAAATAAAATTTAACTCTATGATTATAGGTGGCTGGTAGTATTAGCTCATGCCAGCCAGCCTGTTTGGACAGCTGTTTTTGAAATGCTTGTCTGTTGGAAAGCCTCTTTGTGTGCATGTGTGTGTGTGTGTGTGTGTGTGTGTTTTGGTTGTTTTGTTTTTTCGTAGAAAGCCTTGAAGTGGATGTATTTCTAATTGCATGACTGGGAAAAATATGTTAATGTTTTGGTTTCCAAAAACAACGGACAGTTTAGGCTTGAAAACAATCAGAACCCTGACAGTAATAGTTGCAAAGTGATGATTTTTTTTTTTAAAAAAATGTTTGTTCTCCTATTTGAAAAAAGAATTGTGGGTGCCATTTTTGCATGCCCTGCTAAAGGCAAACAGCAATTAAGCTTCTCTAACAAGTTGACTTGGGTTTGAAAGTATCCGATCAGTTCTAAGCAATAAAAGATTAGAGACTGATGCTTCCCCCAAACACCTTAAAAAAAATATTCCAGGATTAATGAGTGTATGTTTTTTCTGGACCGAACACCCTCAGCCTAGTGCTGAGCTGCCTCTGCAATCTCTTGCCTTGTAAATGTGCCCCTGCTAAATTAAAAGATCTCTACATTAATCAGATCCTTTTGATTCTCAATGCACCTCAGTGCGAATTCTTCAGCATTTGATGTGCAAGGATCTGTTTTGCCTTTAAAACAAAAATAAAAAATTCTTCAGCTCTACTTTGCAAAACTATAGATGTCAAAGCTCTGTTGCCGGAGGAATCGTCATCGTGGCCCTTCTCGATAGCTTATAATATCTGTCAAGGAGTTGTTTTCGTGACTTCCCAGAGGGGATAAGCTGTGTGAGTCTACAAAACTTGAAAAAGGGTCATTCTTTTTTCTTTTTCTTTCTTTCTTTTTTTTTTTTTTTTTGCCTCAGTGCATATTCTACAAATTAAAGCAAGGGATATTTTCATGGAGCAACTGAAAAGTCAGTGTACATGGTGTGTGTGTGTTTGTTTGTGTGTGTGTGTGTGAAGCTTTTATATTGATTGCTTTACTGGGATCTGTTTGCTACTCTTATCCAACAGGATTTTAAGGGACAGACCAAAGCAGAAATGACATTATCTGCTTTAAAAGCTAATAACCCTCTTCACAGTCTGCCAGGACACTTCTATCAAGAGGCACATTTTTCTTCAGCCTCTCACAATCTTAACAGTGGGAAGGCATTTACTTCAACCAGTGACCTGAAAGAAAGAAAGAAAAAAAAATCTCCCCTGGGGGGGGAAGGGTTCTCCATGATTACAATTTGATCTAATGCACGTTTCCATTCTCAGGGTGACCTGCTCTTTCTTTTCCCATTGCAAACTCTGCCCCTTGCCTTTTGCAACTGCTTGGCAGAGCGATTTCTGTTTGCTAATGCAGAACTTGTTAGAGCTTTGGCTATCTCTGAGCCTGGCAAAGGAAAATAAATGAACTCCTTCCATCACTGTAACTCTAGCGTCCATGCATGGAAACTAAGATTTGGTGCACTGAAGAATTCGTTTTTAATGACCACTTTTCCGCTGGCATTGCAAATGGATATAATGCTGGGTAACCAAAATTAAAAGGAGCCCAGAGTCACTTGGCTGAGCTGGGTGGCTAGAGAAAGGGAGGGAGGGAGGGAGGGAGGGAGGGAGGGAGGGAGGAAGGAAGGAAGGAAGGAAGGAAGTTGGTTGATTTTACAAGCCAGGTGGATTAAAAAAAAAAAAAAGCAGAAGGGCAGGTCACCATGTGGCTGTACTAATGAGTTACCTCTCCACTCAAAAATATTTATCCTGAATTCTCATATTCAAGGTACTACAGCGGTAAAAATGGAAGGGTCGCCTTCAGTTTGTTGAAGATTAGAATGAATGAAGACCAAACCTTTTGGAGTGGACCTATTATTCATTGCTATTGTATCTGCTTCCTATACAAAAGCTGCTAGATTTGGGGTTGGTATTTCTAGTTCAAAGGTTTAAGCAGGAGATGATGGGGAAATCCTTCTCTGTCGTTCACAGACAAAATGGTGCCAAAACATGTTCCTCAAACTTTTAACTGGGACTTCAACTCCCAGAATTCCACAGCCAGTTGAAGTCGAAGTTCACCCATTTTATAGGTTGAGAAACACTGGGCTAGATTAACAAACGATCCAGCTTAAAACTGAGATGCTGTCTTGACCCCATAGATACCAGGGAAGCCTTGTATCCATCCTACAATGAAGCCTTTGGCTGTTTTTCACCATCTCTCTTTTGAAATGTGGTTTTGTTTATTTGGAGGGCCCGGGTGTCACTTCCAAGTGCTTCCATTTGTGTTCCAGAGAGCATACTGTGGCCAATGCACTGAAAGGATATGGGGTCTGGGAAGACAAGGTTACAAGTGCATCAACTGCAAGTTGTTGGTCCATAAACGCTGTCACGTTCTTGTCCCACTGACCTGCAAAAGGCATATGGTAAGTTGGTGACTGGACTGTGTTAAAATGAGAGCATAACAAGATGAGGGTTGCAGCTTTCAAAGCTCAGCGGGTCAGCTGATTAGTGCGGGATAAATCACACCTTGATTCCTCTTTTACTGGTGAGGAAAAAAAGATAATACGTATTTTAATTCTGAAGTAAGAGGAAAGGGATTGCAGCCATTTTTGTCTTAAAGCTCTTTCCATATACACACTCCAGCTTTATATGCTTTTTATGGCTCCATGCGGTGACTCCTTGCCCCAAAGCGCCTTAGAAAGACATTTCTTTCGGCTTGCACTTATATGTGAAATACAGCAAAATGTGCTCATTTTACCTTTGCGCGGTAATTCATCAACAGAAAAATTGGTTCATGCTGGAGCTGTGTTGTACAGCGTTTGCCACCGTCTCGTTGGCAAGGCAATTCTTGGTGAATTTCCTGTTTGGTCTTCAAGAGAGCCAGCCGTTTACGCAAAACTTGCCTTTTTTTTGAGCCTTCACGGATCCATATTCTTACAGGATTCTGTGATGCCTTCCCAGGAACCTCAATTAGACGATAAGAATGACGAAGCTGACGTCCCTCCAGAAGACACAGACGGAAGTGAGTATGACTTTCCTTTCAATCTAGACTTCTGAAAGTCTAGATCCATTTCAGGGGAAACTCCCCCCCTTCCCATTTGTCATTCTTAAACTTCAAACATCCCCAAGGAGAATGACTAATTGATAGGCTTCCACAAGGGGGCCTTGCAGAAGAAGGAAGGACAGCTGTGGAACCACTTGCAAGCCCAGTGGAAAAATCAATTATTTGTAATAAAGGTTTATTCCTGAATTTATTCAAGGGCTGTTAATCAGTGTGGTATGGTAGTAAAAGTGTAAGATTAAGAATGGGGAGATCCAAAGGTCTAGTGCAGGGGTAGGCAACCTTGGCTCTTTTATGACTCGTGGACTTCAACTCCCAGAATTCCTGAGCCATCCACGCTGAGGGGAAAGGGAGAGGTTTCCATGCTGAGCCATGCTGGCTCAGGAATTCTGGGAGTTGAAGTCCACGAGTCATAAAAGAGCCAAGGTTGCCTAATCCTGGCCTAGGCTGAGACCCTCCAGATCAGGGGTAGGCAACCTTGGTTCTTTTATGACTCGTGGACTTCAACTCCCAGAATTCCTGAGCCAGCCATGCTGAGGGGGAAGGGAGTGATTTTCAAGCTGAGCCATGCTGGCTCAGGAATTCTGGGAGTTGAAGTCCACAAGTCATAAAAGAGCCAAGGTTGCCTACCCCTGGTCTAGTCCATCCTCAGCCACAGTCAGTTTTGGTCAAGGAGGCCGATGGGGAGATAGGTGAAATAATATACTACACTGCATTCAGAGGGGTTATTGATCAAATGGAGAAATTAACATAGACCGGTTACTTTAACAGGAGCTCTTTAATCCCTAAGTTCAGTGAAATACAGGTATTTCTTGCCTTAATGATTGTAATTGAGCCCAGAATTTCTGCTGCTAAGTGAAACAGTCATTAAATGAATTTTGCGCCATTTTATGACTGTTCTTGCCACTGTTGTTAAATGAATCACCATATCTTTGCTATTGGATATAAAAAATGCCGGTGGGTTTGTTTTACAGTTCTGCTTCTTATGTTTTCTCCTGCAGTATCTTACATTTCTTCGACTCGGAAACACGACAATATTAAAGATGACTCTGAGGTGGGTCTCATTTTTCAGTAGAACATTAAGAGAGCCCTCTATTTAGACCCATTAGACAAAATATGTTTTAGATTCTCCTCGCTGTTAACACGTGGGCTTCCAAAGCATTACATGCCTGGAGTTCTGGGTGTTCCATCCTTTGAGGTCTTCAAAAATAGACTGGACCGCCATTTGACCGGGATGGGTATAAGGCCTCCTGCTTAAGCAAGGGTTGGACTAGAAGACCTCCAAGGTCCCTTCCAGCCCTAGCATTCTATGTTCATCTGCAGTAATCTTAGGCCATTCTGGGTTGCCATGTTCAGAAATTGGCTTAGTTTCGGAATTTAACAGTTGCTCCATATCCGAAATGAATCACAAATAAGTTTGATATATTATTATGGATCATCGCACAGTCAGCCAGATGTTCAGAGTGGATTTGGCATTTTGTCTACCTATCGAGTCCTTACACAGGACCTGGGATAGGCAGATGTGGATGTTTGATGGTGTTACAGATTATTATTATTATAATGATGTGTTTTTCCATTAAGAATTATAATTGAACTCAACTTCAAGTCTCTCATATGCTTTAAGCATGTTTGTGAGAAAACATATAGAGCAAGGCATTCAGTGATGAAAACTTTTTGTTAAGAAATGTGTCTTTAATGGCCACCTGAAAGCTAGGAAAAGATAGCCAGGGGATATCTCCAGGCCAGGGGTCCTGGTGTGTGGGTTTTCTGATGGAAAAGGTCCTATTTTTAGCTGTGTAGTGATAACAGAATAGGAAACCAGACCATAAAGCTAATAGTAGCAATCAAGCATGATTTTTGAATAAGGACATCCTGAGATTCTGATACGAAAACGCTCCATTATTTAAAGGTCATCTCCCTCCCTGTAAATCAAGCTAGAAAATTATGAATCTTACTGTCTCGGTATCACAATTACATGATTGGATAGGGTGATGTTGGTATTGAACCGATATTGAATTCCATTTTCACGACACGCTTCCCATTCCATTACACTTTGTCATGCGGTGGGTTTTGCCAGATCCATTGATTTTTTATTTTTTTTTAGAAAAGTAATTATACCTAAGAAGGCAGTGTAGTGGGTTTCAGTAATAGGAGGTGTGCCTGGCTGAGGAATTCTGGGAGTTGAAGTCCACAAGTCGTCAAAGGGCCAAGTTGGAAGACCCCTGGCCTAGAAGACTTCCTCCCAGCTCCGTTATTCTATGTCCTGTGTTCCCTTTCTGATTGCCAAGAGGGTTTTTTGGGGGGGACCTTCATAACGTGTTTTCTTCCATACTTCTTCCGATAGGAACTCAAGCCAGTTATTGACGGGATGGATGGGATCAAGATCTCTCAGGGGCTTGGCCTACAGGACTTTGATCTGATCCGAGTCATTGGACGAGGAAGCTATGCCAAAGTTCTTTTAGTCCGGTTAAAAAAGAATGATCAAATTTATGCAATGAAGGTTGTCAAGAAGGAATTAGTCCATGACGATGAGGTAAGAAGCTGCTTCCACACCTCACAAACCTAACCTGGTTGAGCTTCCTGGATTCTACAGGACTTTGCCAAAACCCAACGTGAAACCGTTTCTATTTTGACCAGTCCCCCTCTCCAAAAATAATAATAATAATATATGGGAAGATTAAAAAAAAGATTACAGGAGGAATGAGAAACCTGTGAGTGGACTTTATGAATGTGTATTAAAACTTTTGAGGGTGTGCGCTTGTGTTAACGTGTGGCTTTTGGTGTTCGATTGTCCGCGGCCTATTTTACAGCATCCCTTTGGATTCTCCAATTGCTCTCTTTCAGGATATCGATTGGGTGCAGACCGAAAAGCATGTCTTTGAGCAGGCATCCAGTAACCCTTTTCTAGTTGGCTTACATTCCTGCTTTCAAACAACAAGCCGGTAAGTAAGCAGATCTTCCACTTTTTTAAAAACAACAACAACAACAACAACTCAAATACTCCTTGCCTGGATCTTACTGGACCTTCGTGTCGGGGCCTGGAAGCCTCTGAAGAATGCATGGCGTTCTCTTTTGTTGACGTGTCTACAACCCTCTTGCTTTGTGCTTAGAATCAGGGGATCGTAGCATGCTAGGTTCGAAAGGAACCTTGGTAGCAATAGCACTTAAGACTTATATGCCGCTTCACCGTGCTTTACAGCCCTCTCTAATCGGGTTACAGAGTCAGCCTATTTGCCCCTTAACAATCTGGGTCCTCATTTTACTGACCTCAGAAGGGTGGAAGGCTGAGTCAACCTTGAGCTGGTGAGGATCAAATTCCTGGCAGCCGGCAGCGTTAGCCTGCAAGACTCCATTCTATCTACTGCGCCACCGTGGCTCTTAAGCATCTTGTCCGATTCTTGTCCAGTGTGAGAATCCACCAATGAAGCAACCACAGCAGATGGCCTCTCATCCTCCCTTTAAACGTCTCCAGTTGGCACCTCCTAAGACCGGCAGTTCAGTACAGCACAGCTCTTATGGTTAAGAAATTATTCCTGATTAGTCTTAAGCCCTAGTTTGTTACCTTGTCTTCATGAGCTATCCCTGGTCAGGAAGGCTGGTAGGTCCAAAAAGAATGGGGGGGGGTAATGTTTTTCTTCTGGAAAACAATGTTTATGTCTGGCATGATAGCATCTCCAAGAGCTTCTGGCTCTTCTTCTGTCCTGGAGATGATCCAAGAATGAGCTCCCGCTCTCAAGTCAGTTTGGTGACAGAATTATGTGAAGGACTTCCTGCACAGTGTCTTCTAGACTCTTTGTAGCTCAGGGTTGAAGTATGGGGTCCTTGGTGCTCTCTGAGCTTGGCTGTTTTCTTACAGACAAGTGTCATCACCAATAATGTGACCTAGATGGATAATGAAACACACCGAGGGCCCCATAGCGTCTTCCCTAGCAGGAAGAGTCCACACTGAATGAATCCTATTTAAGAGAGGTGAGAAGGTTCGCTTCCAGTCTCAGATTTTGGTGTTCTTCCATTCCATGGACTAACCCTGTCCAACCCTCCTTTTCTTGGTGATAATCAGTCAAGGTCAACTAGACTTCCCGATTAGGGAGCAAAAACACACTGGAAGGAGCTAGGAGAACTATATCTCTCTCCACGAAGCCCAAGGTCACCCTGCATTGCTTTGTCTCCAGAAGGCAATGGAAGGTGGGAGGGTGCCAACAGCCCCAACCTGTTTAGAAAGAGAAGGAGGATATTTAGAATTGCAGAGGAGGCTAGCCATAACTTGATTGATCTGTTGATCCCAAAACAAAGACTTTAAAAACCCGTTGTGCACATTTAACAAATCACCAAAGAGGCTAGTAACGCAGACAATTAAAAGGCTCTCAGTTATTTCTCTTTTTAGAGGCTGCATTGGCATGCGTGTGAGAGTGTTTATTTATTAATGGGGGCTTCTATTACATCAGGGTAGCCTCATTGCACACCATTTAGATGGTTAAACAATTTTTGGCTCTTTTAGGAGCAGAGTAAATTTGAACTGCTTTTACGCTCTAATGGATTTTTCCCCTTGTCTGCGCTAGCTGAAAATTTCAGGGTTGTCGTCTTTTTTTTTTAACCGTATAATCAAAACATTCCAAGCAACATTTCTTGTTAGTTAAAAAAAAAAAATAGGAATGTCCTCAGTTATCTCCCACTGCATAGTTTCTGAAGTTTAGAAAATGCTTCCCCAAATAGCTAATTTGTAAACGGCTTTGAGATCGGTCTAAAGAGTTAAAGAGCTAAAGAGCAACTGGTGACTTGATTGTTATTTTGAATGTTGAAGTTTCAACAAGCATCCTTCTCAACTGGGCTTGGCCTTTGGGTGTGTATGTGTGTGTCTGATGACACAATATTTCATGCTCCAATTCAAAAATAATACAATCTTGGGGGGGGGAAATCTCCATCTTTCTAATGACCATTGACAAAGATTCAGTGACAAAGATGTGTGTAATTGCCAGATTGTGTTTTTTTTAATTATTTTGCATTTGTTTCTGCTGGGGGGGGGGGCAGCACCATTATCCCACTTGAATTCGTGCGTCCCTCAAATGTCATTGTCAGGTTACAGCTACCTGACTAAGTGAGGCATTTATTAAGTGAGTTTCATCCCATTTTACGACTCTCCTTGCCGCATTTGTTAAGGGAATCTCTGCAGTTGTTAAGTTACCCAGTTGTTAAGTGAATCTGGCTCTCCTCCCCCGTTAACTTCGCTTGTCAGTAGGTCACAAAAGGTGACCTGCAAATGTCGTAAATATGAATCGGTTGCCAAGTGTGCGAATTTCGGTCATGAAACCACGGAGATGTCGCAGTGGTCATAAGTATGCAAACTGGTCCTCGGTCCATTTTTTTTCAGGGCTGTTACAACTTTGAATTGTCACTCAAGGAATAGTTGTAAGCTGAGGACCTCCTGTACTACTTACCAATTTAATTTGGTATATTTAGTATTTTGCTGAACCTGCGGGAAAAATGCTAGAATGGTGATGAGTGTTTCCCTTGGATTTTTTGGCGGGGGGGATTCTGGATTGAGCTCCCCAGTGCTTATTTAGAGAAAGGATAATCTTGACTCCTTGAATGGGAAAAATAAAATTATAAAAAAACCACTTCCTTTTGCTGTTCCTCTCCCTCCCACCATCCTTCCAACCGGATGTCTTGGGAAAAAAGTGATCGTGACGACTTGAGGGGTGGTTTGGCGCAGTGGCATCTCCAGGACCCAGCCCTTTTTCTCAAAACGACAAAAGCAACATTGCCGTGTCATCTCGCAAGCTCCACCTCCTTTAGAGCGTGCGGTATTATGAGGCACATACACACAGAGAGACACAAAGCAAGGGTGGCGTTTACAGCTGGTTAGCAGCGACGCAATAATTTCGTCTGTTCGCTCCCACCCTCACTCTGCAGGCAATCTGCTGACTAACAGCAATTGTGTGTTCTATTTTCAGGTTGTTTCTTGTTATAGAATATGTGAATGGGGGTGACCTCATGTTTCATATGCAACGGCAGAGAAAGCTGCCAGAGGAACACACAAGGTAGTGTGAATCTATCCTTCCTTCCTTCCTTCCTTCCTTCCTTCCTTCCTTCCTTCCTTCCTTCCTTCCTTCCTTCCTTCCTCCTCCTCCTCCTTTTTCTTCTCTCTCTTCTCCTCTCTCTCTTCTCTCTCTCCTTCTCTCTTTCTCTCTCTCTCTTCTCCTCTCTTCTCTCTCTCTCTCTTCTCCTCTCTCTCCTCTCTCTCTCTTCTCTCTCTTCTCTCCTCTCTTTCTCCTCTCTCTCTCTTCTCCTCTTCTCTCTCTTCTCTCCTCTTCTCTCTCTTCTCCTCTCTCTCTTCTAATTCTCTTCTCCTCTCTCTTCTTTCTCTTTCTCCTCTCTCTCTCTTCTCCTCTTCTCTCTCTTCTCTCTCTTCTCCTCTCTCTCTTCTCTCTTCTTTCTCTTCTCCTCTCTCTTCTTTCTTTCTCTCTCTCTCTCTTCTCTCCTCTCTCTCTCTCTCTTCCCCTCTCTCTCTCTCTCTCTCTCTCTCACTCTTCCTTCCAGAGGAGTGAAATTACATTTTCCTTTCAGGTTTTATGCTGCTGAAATCTGTATTGCTCTCAACTTCCTCCACGAAAGAGGCATCATATACAGAGATTTAAAACTGGATAACGTGCTCCTGGATACAGAGGGCCACATCAAGCTAACAGATTACGGCATGTGTAAGGTAAGTTGGCTTTCCAGATTAAAGGAGTCTCTTGACCGGCCTCCCCAAGGATCGGAATCCGATTGTGTAAGGTGGGCAAGATCGAAGACGGGTTCTTGTGTTGGGGAGCCAGACAGACAAATTGGCCCAGACAGGAAGGGGAGGATCTAGAACGATGGGTGAGGACAGAGAAGGCCCACAGCCGATCAAGCGTAAGGTCATCCTTGACTTACGACAACAATTGTGCCCAAAACGTCTGTGGCTAAGCAGGACAGATGTTCAGAGAGTTTTGCCCCGTTTTTTACAACTTTTCTTGCCACAGCTGTTTTAAATGAATCACTGCAGTTAATAAGTTAGTAACACAGTCATTAAATGAATCTGTTTCCCCATTGACGTGGCTTGTCGGAAGGGGATCACATGACCCCGGGACACTGTCACTGTCATCCATTGGAGTCAGTTGTCAAGCGTCTGAATTTGGATTATGTGACGCACAGCAGCAGTCTTCCTATTTTTTTTTTTTTTTGTAGGAAGGATTGGGCCCCGGTGACACTACGAGCACTTTCTGCGGCACGCCAAATTACATTGCCCCGGAGATTCTCCGAGGAGAAGAATACGGTGAGTTGCTATATAGAGCGTGTAATTATGTAGGGACTGCAAAGCGTTCGCCTTCTCATCTGGAGGGATTACAGACGCGCCTGTTTGTTGATGTTGATGTCTTTACGCCATTAAGCAGAGGTCAGACTCAACGGAAGTTATGATCTGGAGCAGAAAAGAGTGGAGCACTGTTCAAAATGGAGAAGGATGGAGTAACTGGCCCGCGTCCCTACTTTGTGGTGGAGGTTAAGTGGTCGTATGCTTGAAGGCGCCCCTGAATTAATTTTGAGGGAACCTCAGATGTTGAACTTTGGAAGGCTGGTCAACGTGGAATGCCCTGGGCCAATAAATTATTGCTAAGCCTAATGGTGTTTTATGGAACTTCATACCATTGCTACCACATTTTCATTGTAAAAAACTAACTGTGTTAGTCCTTAATTACGTCGTATGGAGCATATCGCATTCCCTTTTGTTGTTTATCCTTTGGGGACATTCCGATTACACAAACCAAAGCTGAGTGTCGGAAAATAGGATTAAGATAACTGGGTTGGAGGTATTTCTGATAGCCACAATAGTTACGGAATTGACACCGGTCGTTGGGTTTGAATTTTTAAGCAATTCCAAAAACCCTTAATTTTATCCTGTTGCTTTGAACCAATCGTTCATGGTATTGTGGCAAAGGACATCTGAATTATTTTTTTGTTCTGGATCAGTGTTTCTCAACCTTGACAATTTTAAGGCATGTGGACTTCAACTCCCAGAATTCTGGGAGTTGAAGTCCACATGCCTTAAAATTGTCAAGGTTGAGAAACACTGTTCTGGATGTTTTTATGTTCCCCATTACACGCACACAACCCTTACACCACTAAAATCTTCTCTGGAGAGTCCCTAATTTCATTAATTAATTTGTTCGTTCGTTCATTCATTCATTCATTTTCTTTAGCCACCTATCTCAATCAATGACTCTGTCTAATCCTTAAAACCTGTTCCGTATGTTAAATCAGAAAGTGTCCGCTCTGTAAACTGAAATCTTTTCTTGAGCGCATCCTTTTTCTAATATTTTTTTTTACAGGATTCAGTGTGGATTGGTGGGCCCTTGGTGTCCTCATGTTTGAAATGATGGCAGGAAGATCTCCGTTCGACATTATTACCGACAATCCAGATATGAACACTGAAGATTACCTCTTCCAAGGTATGCCGCGACCCCCAACCGGTCGTACGTCTAGGACTACTCAACTGGTGCAGCACCGTTTGCAGACTGGGACTTTTGGCGGGCTCAGCAGGGCAGAGACAGCCTGGACAATTCCTATTGGCTTTGGAAAGCCAATAGAATTAGACTCTATTCAAGAGAGTCTATTCTATTGGCTTTCCAAAGCCAATAGAATAAAAGGGAGTAGCACAGCTAAGGAAAAGGGGGGGAAAAATGGCGGACTGTGTTGTTTGGCGACCCCCGTGAAATGGTTGTTCGACCCCAAATGGGGTCCCGACCCACAGGTTGAGAACCACCGTGCTAGAGTGTTAAGATTCAGAATAAAGTTTCACTCAAGAGCAGAATAAAAATTGTAGGATCCAACAGCACAGAGTATGTGCTGTTCTATGTTGTGGTATTTATATGGTGCCTGTTGTATGTGGCTTTTTAGATGGGGGTGTGTTGATGCAGCATATAAATAGCACACACTCTGCTAAAGAGAAGTTTCTTGGGGATGGGCTCCAGCATCTTCCAAAAGCTCGGAAGACGAAGACCAGATTGGGTCTTGCAACATTATCCTGGCCCAGGCACCGTATAAACACCACACAGGAAATTTTCCTGGGACATGTATATTTGCCTTCATTTGTGAGAATAAAAATTTCCAAAATGTGAGTAATTATGCCATTGACATCAGTGGTGTCATTTGCAGCAACCTCAATATAACAGGCAAACTCTCCCTTTAATAGTCTGTTAAATGGGTGGAGAGGAAATTGTGTTGCATTTTATGTCTGCTAAACCAAGGCTTTCTTCTATTGATGTATTGGGGAATATAACATTTTCTCTTTCGAAAACTTCTTTTAACAGTTATCCTTGAAAAACCGATCCGAATTCCGAGATTCCTTTCTGTTAAGGCCTCCCATGTTTTGAAGGGATTTTTAAATAAGGTAGGTTTACAATATTTTGTCTTTGGGGGTTTATTTTCGCCCGTTAAGCACAACAGCATTTTTGGGCTGGCTGCCTTTCGTTAACCCTGGGGTGACTGTGGTTTATTCATTAAACCTTATTTTGAACAGTGTGCGAACCAGGGCAAAATACACGAAGAAGAATTCTTCTGCGTTTTATTCTATAATTTGGTAAAGTGTAAAAATAGGGAGACGGAGTTGCCAGTTGAATTTAGTGGCTTCTTTTAAAAAGGAAAATTGGTTTTTAAAGAAATTTTGTCTTCAGACGTTGGCCTCGTAAACCTAACAATCACGGGGAAATTCATTTTAATTCTCCCTCCTAGGATCCCAAAGAGAGGCTCGGATGCCAACACCAAACAGGATTTTCCGAAATCAAGTCACACACATTTTTTCGCAGCATAGACTGGGATCTGGTAAAGCATTTAACTTTTTTTTTGTCCCCCTTCGGTTTTGTGCCTGTGTATCTGAGCCGTTCTTTTGCACCTGCCAACTGATCTTGGTAGAAGTCACTTCTGCAAAGGGGCGGATTAATGGGTGGGGCACGTTGTATCACATGTACCGTAACACCCTCACCACTGTTTACATCCTTTGTGTGAGAACATCAAGAAGCAAGAGGCAGAACCACCTAGCAGAATGAGTGAGGAACTATAGCCTGGAAGACTTGGGTTCAGACATCATTCCATATCAGGTGGCCATTTCCAAACAAACCAGCACACCATAATAAAGAACGGCCAGTCTGGTTTTATCATTATGGTTGCCCAGTTAGATCCACAACAAACCAATAATCTTTGCATACCCATACAATCAGCTCCCATTTGAGACAAACTTATTCCTACTTCCCTTTGTGGGAGTTTCTCGTTCCCTTGTTCTTTGTCTTTCCACATTCCCTTCAGATCTGCTTTGGAATGGCACCTGACCTTCTAAGACAGCTGGAGAACTCGGGGTTTCAGCAAGATCTAAGCTGGTGCAGAATCAGAATTAAGAGTGTACCTCTATTTTGTTGACTGATGTCTAGAAGCCTCCTGAGATGTGACATCAAGTCACTGTTAAGCCATTCCCTCCTGACCCGATACGTTTGCTTGTGTTGAGTCCAACAATGAGGAGGATCCAAATTTACGTCTTCCTTCAAAGCCACTTTTGACAGAAAGAGGTCAACAAGGAGCCATAGTCATGTGCCTAGATAGGCTTAGAAGAAAGCCATGGTTTCAGATCCTCACTCAACTGCATGACTCCTTGGATGACCCTGAATCTACCACTGTATTTCAAGGATAAAACAGGACAGCCACGGGGAAACAGACAGACGGAGTCAGCAGGTGCTAAATGACAAACAGTCGTGAAGGCTTTCTCACTTGCTCAAATTACACACCAGCACTGACAGATTTGCAACCTTAATTCCAGGCCTGCACACTTTCAATGCTGATTTCTGACTCTCTGACAGACACAACTTATTTCTGTCTCTCCTCCATCTTGATCAGAAAGGGTCCTCAGAAGACAAGGACAAACGTAGAAAACTGCCAACCCTGGTCTTGGAAGGGCCTCTTTTGTTGACTACATGATGGTTAACTAACTGGGGGTGAATTTAGTGTCTTTTGGACAACACATCACCTCCTCTCTTCTGTCTCTCTCTTTTTTCCCCTCCTTCTGCTCTCAATTCAGCTGGAAAAGAAGCAGGCCACCCCACCGTTTCAGCCTCAGATCACGGACGATTATGGCTTGGATAACTTTGATACCCAGTTCACCAGTGAACCTGTGCAGTTAACTCCAGATGATGAGTATGGCTAATGGATAAATACATTGTTGAGCATTAAATCATAAGGTTTTTCGACCTTAGCAGTTTTAAACGGCGTGGACTTCAACTCCCAGAATTCCCCAGCCAGCACAGCATCCCCAGGGCCACATGATTAGAATTCAGATATTTATGACCGTTGCAGGGTCCCGAGGTCATGCAATTCGCTTTTGTTACCTTCTAACAAACAAAAGTCCATGGGGCAGCCAGATTCACCTAACAACGATGGCATTTTTAAATAGTAAAATGGGGCCAAAGTCAGTTAACCGTCTCGCTTAGCAACAGGAAGTGCGGTCGTTAAGTCGAGACTACCTCTATTTTCCGCCAGTCTCACTGCACGGCCACAAAATTGAAAGCACCCAGACCCACAACCCTTTGTTATTGCAAAGAAAACGTGATTTCCCTGTTCGTTTTGATGGTGCTTGCCCATTCCGTTTGCCGGCCTTTGATAAAACCTCAGAGATGAGCGTTAAAATTCTCTTTTTTCTTTCTTTCTTTCTGTCTCCAGAGATGTAATAAAAAGAATAGACCAGTCGGAGTTTGAAGGATTTGAATATATTAATCCACTGATGCTATCGAATGAGGAAACGGTATGAGAAACAGGCGCAGAGGGGAAAAACAAAATGAACGCACATGGACATTTAATCCTGAACTACAGTATATGCATGCAAGGCTGGGGCGGGGTCACCATAAGGTTTTGAATGGAAACCAAATGGGAAAATGGCCACTGAGAAAAATCAAGATACGTGATTTGGGTGGGTGGCTTCCTCTCTTTTTTTTTAAGTCCGGGGGAACTGGCAGAGCTGACTTTGTGGATTTCGCACTCCGTGCCTGCTTCAACAAAGGGGTCAGTGATGGCTTGTTGCGTCCTTGGGAAGAGATTCCAGACCACTTTGAAAAGTAGCCCGCTTCTATCGGACTTTTCCATGCAACAGCCTCCTAAAACAGTTGAACATCCAGAACACAATTGCTTGTGATGTTGAAGCTTAACTTTAGATGCCTTTTCTCACAAGTGGTACCTATCCTACATGTGTGTGCGTGGGTCTGTATGTGTGTGTACATTCACATCTATGTAGGCACACATGTATACGCACACTTGCTAAATCAATAGAAAGGAGTTGTGTTTTATTAGCAATGTTAACAAATTTGGGTACAGTATTTTAAGTGCCTAAATGGATAATCTACATTAAATTATTCCATTTTTTGGAACAATTGATGAACCCTGTAAGTTCTGGTTATTTAAAACGAAAAGTATTTTACACATGGAACCTACAAATAACAGCTGCTATCTAATATTAATCACAGTCTCAGAATGGACAGGAATCTTAGCAATAACAATTCCAAAATTAGAATTTTGCATCTAAACATTCTGGATTATGCTGAATGTGGGAGAAAAAAAAACTACCAAAATTCCCATCAGAAAATTTAAATTTGCACATGGTGGATTTATGAAAATATTTGAGCAGTGCCTACAATGATTTATGTTGTATACTAGATTTTTGAATAATATTTTTATCAATGCAATATTCAAAAGGAACAATGGGAACGTAATAGATCTTAGCCTTAAAATTTTGGAAAGAAAAAAAATAAAAGAATTCTAGGATATCTATCAACATACTACTTTTTTTTTTTTTCTGATAAAGCACACCTCCTACGTTCTCCCAGAGGTTGGTTTGGTAAATGAAACACTATCAAAACAGCCACTTGGGGATAGGAAAGGCGACCACAGATAAAAATATTACTTGGATATAAAAATGTCTTATTATTTTCTCTTTGGAGAACGGCGATGTGTTTCATCGGGATAATTGTCAGTTCTTGGAATTCAAAGACAATTCAGTGCATTTCAGATGGAACTACGAGTACATATTGCTAATCTTAATACCGGAACCCTTTCCAAAGTCTCTGGGTCAATTGCAGTTTTGGAGAATGAGGTTTTTTTAAAAAAAATCAGATTGACTCTACGGGGGTCAATTGCAATGACATAGAAAAATCCCATTATGTCACGACTTGGTGGATATCAAATGACTCAGTCTAGGCTTCTCAGCAGCGTTGGTTGCTGTACAGGAAATCTTACCTGCCTTTGTAGCCATCAAATGCTAGGATATGGCCAAATTTGAAAGGTGGATAAATCTGGCCAAGAACCATTGGTTAAATTTCATTTTGGATTCTTCCTTTAGCTTGGCCAATGATTAAAGCACATATATGATAAGAAAATGTTAGCACTCCCGTGCCGGGTTTCTTGAAACTCGGCCGTTTTGCTTTTGAGAAAGATTCTTAAGTCTGTTCTAACCAGCACTTAGTAATTCAGCTAGAACTATTTTTTTTCCCCCTCCAGTGCTCGGGATTTAAATAACCAAGCTGGAAAATGAATATCCTATCTCCCCCCCCCCCCCCCAGCAACAAATTCAGTATTTCCTTCACTGCTGTGTCTCTTCCCCTTCAATTTGCAGCTGAGCAATTGGTTCTTGTATACTGTCCAAACATCAAAGCAGGACTAGATACACACTTGATCCCAGGCATCAAAAAACAAGTCCTTGATTTATTTACAATTTAAGGCATTTACAATGTTGCTGTGTTGCCAAATAAGTTAACTGGTTACAAGTCGGTTGCTGCTCTTGTGCAATGTATAATGTTCTGTCCATGATGAAGGGGAAATTTTTTTATATAAAGTTCTTGTTTTATAAATTAAAGAAAAAATGAAGGATGTAATTAAATGTGTGGTTTAAAAAAAAATTCCTTAATATATTGCAAATGGAGCTGGTAATGAGATCATTGTCTTAGTATGTAAATGAAATGTAAATGAAAACACTCTCTAGCTAATTTAATGATTGTAAAACAGTAAATATGTTCTTGTAGTTTTGTATAATTAACTAGTTGAGATCTTTGGCCAGTTTTATTTGTGCAAAAGATGGTATCCTAACCAGTTAAACAGCTAAAATCATTTATATTCTTGCACATCTATTAAAGACTTTAATGAAAATATTATGACTCATTTCATTATGCAAAAATATAATATACTTTCTTCAGATGGATTACCATGTTTTATTCATATATTTCAGTTCCATACGTCCTGCACACCAAATGGTTTTGTTTGCATTTGACCTCTTCAAACAAAGTTGATCTCTTCAAACTGTCTGGAAACAACTATTATAATAAAAGCAGAGTTCAAACATGAACCCTTAGTTACTATTCAAGAATTCGTATTTCTCTATAACTGTAAAGGTGGTTAAATTCAATCTGCATGAAATTAGAGCTCTTAGTGTAGTTGTGTTTAGTTCGCTAAAGTGGAGCTGTACTTTAAAACCGTGTTGACTTTTGACACTTATTTAAATCCCGAGCTGATTATGTAAACTCAATTCCTCCAAAGTTATTGAAATAACATTTACAAAAAACATTTCTTTGTCCTTTGCAGGGCTACATAACCAAATACCCATCAAGATTTCACTATATAGGTAGTCCTTGACTTACAACAGTTTGTTTAGTGACTGTCTGAGGTTACAACAGCAATGAAAAAAGTGACTTGTGACCGTTTTCCACACTTACCACCGTTGCAGCATCCCCATGGTCATGTGATCAAAATTTGGATGCTTGGCAACTGGTTCATATTTATGATTTTGTTAACATCTCATCATCTTTGTTTTCAAATAAACGTTTAGCACAATTATTACCATGTTCTAGTTTGGAGTATCTATGAACTGGAAACAATTGAGATAATTTGATCTGCAGATAAAATCACTATCTACTAATACACAACTCTTATTATATTTCTAGGTAACTACTAATTCTACCACATTCGTCATCTAGTTTAACACAAAAGAGAAAAATTTTTACTATCTTGTTCAATTTTTAATGAGGCTACATGGTAAATGGAGTTCACTAATTTCTGAATCGTGTTATTGGATATAAAATTTTGGCTGGATATCAAATTTTCGTCAATTTTCTTTTACCTAGTTCCTAACCATTATCATTCCAAAAAGTGAGTGTTTCAATTTATTCCTTTGCAAAAATTATTGAAAACTATGAGTCAGCTCCTCCTGCTGCTTTTAAAGCTGGCACTTAATGCCAACCTATTACTTATATAAATTCTTTGCTGGTTTTCTATTTATCTGGCTGATGATTCATTCACATTTATGCCCTTCACATTTAAATGGGGGTGGGGAGGAAAACCTCCAAGTACATAGCCATGTTTCATGCTAATGAAAATCTTCTAAAGTTTAAAAAAAAAAATTCCAAGATATTTTAATATTAGGTGCCTTTGTTGGGGGAAACTTCTGATTTTCTGTTTTTGCTTTCTAACATGTAGTAGTCAACTAACATTCATTTTATTGCTATCCCTTTCCCAAATGTATTCATGATGCGCTTAGTCCCCACTTATTTCTTAAAATCAGATTTTCGCTGAAAGAATAACTTCTGTAATATTACACACATTGGATATGCTACTCTGATCCTCCTGGCTGCCAGTGGAAGAAATAGCAGGCATCTCTTGCAGAGGTGAGTTCTTGTTAAGTAATCTTCTATCATGCTACGTCACTCTGCAAAGGAGTCTTTTTTCCATAACTTTGAAATTCAAAACTTTAGGGACAGTTCAGAGCATTTGTTAGTGAAAAAAGTCTGGGCAAATTTGGTGAGTGGCTTAAGATATCTCAAATGCTTCATCTTCCAGCACAACAGAACGTCTTACGCTACCCTTTGTGTCTCATCTTGGTCATTTTCTCCTGTGGAAATGGATTTTGTTTCTTCAGGCGTACAGTTTTGATGCCTTCCTGAACCGGTGGCTTCCCAGTCTCTGTGATAAACTGGGAACGGAACCCATTCAAAGGTCTTGGTTCCACAATTAAATGTTTCGAGAGGGGGTTGAGGATTCGCAATTTGAGAATTCTGCAACGAAAAAACAAAAGGGTCAGCACTGAACAGCAATGGCTAGAAGAATTTAAATTTTCCTCTCTCATTTGATCCAGTGAACATTAAATATTCTGATCCTTGGCCAACCTCCACCAATGAAATTAACAGGCAATTTCATATCCTGGAATGTTTGATTATGACTATTTTGATTTGTAAACATCTGGTTTTTAACTCTGGCAATGTCTGTCGGCTGATTTAGTTCTGTCTAGACTGTCTGAAACTTTATTCATTTCCTATTGTCCCTGCCCTGTTTTCCTCTACCTGTGGTAAAGCATTTGATATTTTAATTTTCAACTTTTACCTCTCTGGGAATTTAAATATGACCATATTCTACAAAGGGAAGACTTAATTTTATAAATATTCTCTTGGAGACAGTGTCAACTGCTGCCTTCTGCTACCTTTGGATGAAATTCCGGGAAGCTGACAAATTTTTCTAAATTTGATTGATTCAGATGTGGATCCACAGTCCTCAGCAAGGTAATCCATGAAGCTTCAGCCTCACTTAGCTCTTGCTTTTCAAACCAGGAAGCGTTGGTGGAAAACGTCCTATAGAAAGGAAAGGCACAATTGTAACAGTTCCAGCTTGTCAGAACACAGTGATTTATCATTTTAAAAGAGTTCTTTGTTTTCCTTGTTTGTGGAATTCTAACTGTACAGCAAGAAGTTTAGCTCTTCTAGGAATTCCAGAATCCAAAATAACCAAAATATTGAAGAAAGGTGAAAGAGGAAGAAGAAAGGCTGGAAGAGGAAGGAAGGGAAGGATGGAAGGAGGAAAGGAGGAAAGGAAGGAAGGAAGGAAGGAAAAGAAATAGAGAAGGCGAAAGGAATACGGTGAAAGAAAAAGTGGAGAGGGAATCAAAGTGAAAGAAAGAATGGTGAGAAAGAGAAAGAGTAATAGAGTGTGAAAGGAAAGCAGAGACCGGAAGGAAGGATGGAAGGAAGGAAGGAAGGAAGGAAGGAAGGAAGGAAGGAAGGAAGGGAAAAGAAGGGAAGGAAGGAAGGAAGGAAGGGAAAAGAAGGGAAGGAAGGAAGAAAAATAAAGAAGGTGAAAGGAATATGGTGAAAGAAAAAGTGGAGAGGAAATCAAAGTGAAAGAAAGAATGGTGAGAAAGAAAGGAAAAGAGAAATAGAGTGTGAAAGGAAAGCAGAGACCGGAAGGAAGGAAGGAAGGAAGGAAGGAAAAAGGGAAGGAAGGAAGGAAAATAGAGAAGGCGAAAGGAATTCGGTGAAAGAAAAAGTGGAGAGGGAATCAAAGTGAAAGAGAAAGGAAAAGAGAAATAGAGTGTGAAAGGAAAGCAGAGACCGGAAGGAAGGAAGGAAGGAGAGAAAAAGATAAAGAAAAGAATAATGGAGGAGGAGGAGAATGGAGGGAAGAAATAAAAGGAAGAGAGGTGCCCAACCGAGGGAAAGGCGGGATAAGCAAGCCATGGAAGCAGCCGGGCGACTTTGGGTCTGTCCCTCTCTGCTTCAGCCCCAGCCCACCTCGCAGGGTTGTTGTGGAGGCAAAAGAGGAGGAATTGGTTGCCCTGGGTTACTTGCAAAAGTAAAATGCAAAGGAAGCAAACAAACCCACGACGACCCTCCCCTCCCGCGCGCCAAGCCCCGCCTCACCCAGCGACGCCCCCGCGGTCCTCCCGCCGCCGTTTCAAGCTCAGCTTCCCGCCGATGCCGCGCGCAGGAAGCCCGGCCATTTCCTCTCCCCGGCCACGCCCCCTCCCGCTCCGTTGGCGGGAAAAGAGGGCGCCCGCGCGCGCAGGCGCGGGAGGAGGCGGAGGCTAGAGGTGGGAGTGGGAGGAGTTTCCCTCAGGCTTTTCTTCCTCTTTCCCTACTTTTTATGGTATATATTATATTGTATTCTATTAACTCTACAGTACAGAGCAGCATTTTTATTTTCTGTGGTCTAGATCCTAGTATTATGTAGGTTTTATATTTATTTTGCACGGCTTACCTTGTATTATAAGCAGGGATCGTCAACCTTGGCTCTTTTAGGACTGTGGACTTCAACTCCCAGAATTCCTGAGCCAGCCACGCTGAGGGGAAAGGGAGAGGTTTCCAAGCTGAGCCAGGCTGGCTGAGGAATTCTGGGAGTTGAAGTCCACGAGTCATGCAGGGCCATAGTTCCCCCATGCTGGCTGAGGAATTCTGGGAGTTGAAGTCCGCAAGTCATGAAGGGCCATAGTGCCTCCATGCTGGCTCAGGAATTCTGGGAGTTGAAGTCCGCAAGTCATGAAGGGCCATAGTTCATGCTGGCTGAGGAATTCTGGGAGTTGAAGTCCGCAAGTCATGAAGGGCCATAGTTCCTCCATGCTGGCTCAGGAATTCTGGGAGTTGAAGTCCACGAGTCATGAAGGGCCATAGTTCATGCTGGCTGAGGAATTCTGGGAGTTGAAGTCCGCAAGTCATGAAGGGCCATAGTGCCTCCATGCTGGCTCAGGAATTCTGGGAGTTGAAGTCCACGAGTCCTAAAAGAGCCAAGCTTGCCTACCCCTGGTCTATTGGCAAGAGGAGGATCAGAAGACTCCAGGGAACCCCCCCCCCCAGCACACAGACACACACAGACACAAATCTAGAAAAAAACAGAGTCTCTTGGAAGAGGACTTGCTGGTTGAGGCCTTGACTGGGAATCATTCTGTGGGGCAGGGGGTCTTCAAACTTGGCCCTTTTATGACTCGTGGACTTCAACTCCCAGAATCCCTGAGCCAGCATGGCCCAACTTGGAAGCCTCTCCCTTTCCCCTCAGCATGGCTGGCTCAGGAATTCTGGGAGTTGAAGTCCACAAGTCATAAAAGAGCCAAGGTTGCCTACCCCTGTATTATAATATAGTATGTTGCATTATAGAAATAATAATATGATATAAGCATAGAAGGAAAACTTGACACTAGAACATAACGGTTTCATGGCCTTACAGCTGTGATAAAACCAAAAGAAGGCTTTCATTTCAAACTCCCAGAATTTTTTTCACAGTAGATCCCTTTAAATTGAGATGTTACTCCTTGCCACTTGGGGGCACCAGAAATACATTTAAAACTTTTTGTATTATTATTGTTATTATTATTCCAGTTTTTAAGGGAGAGTCGAACATCTGGAGGCTTTTCCCTGTGTACAATCATCTATGATCATGATTAGTAACAGTTCTGTTTGCCTGAATTGTAAATAGTTCTGTAGAATATTTTGTGACAGTGTTGCACAAAACTGAAATCATTGCAGTATGTGTTTATGGAACCATATGCGACATGTGGGCGAATGAGTCCCTTTAGAAAGATTGCAAAAATGAAAAGATTTTTTTTAAACTTTCTGTTATTACAATATACATTTGCAGTAATAATGAGCATATCACTTTTATGTATATAACACATTGCATAATGTGTATGTGTGTCAATCAGAATAGAGCTGGAAGGGACTTCGGAGGAAACCCTATATATTTCAGACAAGTGACATGACAAAAGACTGTCCAGTTTTTTCTAAAAAAAAAAACTCCAGTGATGAAGTACCCACAGCTTCTGAAGGCAAGCCATTCCACTGGTTAAAAGTCCTCATTGTTAGAGAGTTTCTCCTTAATTCCAGGTTGTTTCTCTCCTTGATTAGTTTCCATCCATTGCTTCTTGTCCTGCCTTCTGGTGCTTTGGAGAAGAGGCAGCCCCTCAAATATTGGAATACTGCCATCATATCCCCCCTAGTCCTTCTTTTCTCTAAACTAGCCATACCCAATTCCTGCAACTCTTGTGTGTGTGTGTGTGTCTGATGTTAAGAGTGGGGGGGAAACTATCCTGGTAAAATGCTTCTGTTTAAAGATTGTAACATTCAAAACATGAGTGATAGATTCCAGCCATGCCCTTTGCCTGTATAAACAATCATTTTTCTTTCTTGTCAAGGTAAAAGGAAAAGCAATTTTATATCTACAGATGGCACAAAAAAAACGAAGAAAGCATCAATGGGGGTGCTAACAATAGAAGGTAAGAAGTATAATTTTCATAATAAAAAAAAATATTGAAATGTCTAATTGGAAACATGTCCACCCGAAAAAATGATGATTTGACTAAAAGTACACTTTGCTCATGACAAAGGTTGGGGATTGGATTTTATTTTTTTAAATACATCTGCCAAAGTAATTTTTTTTTCTATTCTGGAAGTGTCTCAGAGGGCAAGGGTTTGGTTTTATGATGACAGAAAATAACATGTAACATCTCTCTCAAGTTTTGCTGGACTGAAATAACATCACTGATGGAGCCAGGCAATTTTGTTTAACTTAGTCTTTTTGTGGGGTGTTTTGAGACACCCACTCTACTGGAGGCCTCTCATCCAGAAACATTGGCCAGGTACTAATAAGGCCATTATGTCATTTGGCCTTCCTGTGTGTGGCTTATTCAAAAAAATCGCACACAAGCTATGAACATGCCCACAGCTACTGTCCTTGTAGCTCAGAAGAAAGCAGGAAGGCTAAAAATTGAGCTTACTCTAAAGAAAACATGCAAAGAATTTTCTCATTTATGTTTAGCATGTAGACCTGTGGTTGGCCTGCCTCTATAGCTGGAAAGGACGCTGACTGGACGTCATATAGTAGTGTTATGTAATTCTATTTACCAGAATAAGCTCTTTGACAGGGTCAAGTTTATTTCAGCTGAAGACAGGTGCCTTCAACAGCATTGCTGACATTTTACTCAAACTGGAAAAAGAAATAGCTGGAGATAAACATTAGGAGAGTGTTTTCAACGCTGACCTGAAGTCTGAAGCAGCGATCCAAACTACGATATTGCCAGTAAAGTTAAATATGACCATCTTGCAATGAAGCTAAATAAAAGCATTAGAGGGGACCATTTGTTTTTTTTAAAAATGTCAGCCTGATTCTGTTTTTTGACTCATTTACCCATCAAAACCAGCATCCATTAGGCAGCTTGCATTACGTCAAAGATCACGCAGGCAAGAAATTAAATTCAAGTTGCTGATTCAAATTGCCCATATGTTGCTTTAAAAACAAATATCTACGTAGTTGATCTCCACCAAGCCCCCCCCCCAACCTGTTGTGTAGACACTTTTAAAATCTGAGAAAGCAGACTGTTGTTGTTGTTTTTGTCCACTAAGTTGCTGTTAGGCGGCTCGCCTTAATAACCACCCCTAGAAATTGAGCAACCTTCAGGGTGGTCCAGAATCCTCCAGACAGCTGAGCAAAAGCTAAATGCAAGTTTAGCGTTTGCAACTGCTGAAGAGGAATTAAAATGGCATGAACATGTTCTGAGCAAATCTCCTTGGTATGAGCGGCTGAGTCATAGATAGTCTCAAGAGCTACAAATATTCTGAACTTCCAGCTGAAGTTCTCTGGCTGCACAGGGGTGAGATGGTCCAGTCAACCCATCTGTTTCCACATTCCTTTGCTGACTGTCAACGGAACTTGAGAGTCTTCCCCCCCCGAAGGCCATCCATTTACCATTGTTCGTATTCATTCTCTCTCTCTCTCTTTCTCTCTCTCTCTCTTTCTCTCTCTCTTTCTTTCTCCTCTCTCTCTCTCTCTCTCTCTCTCTCTCTCTCTCTCTCCTTCAGACTTATTCTTTTCCAAGATGGGGGGATTGCAAGATTTGTCATGCTTTCTCCTGGCTAGTAACGGGTATCAGTGGGTGATAGCAAAGAAAACACAATTTGAACAAAAAACACAAAAAACCGTGCCTTGGCACCGCAACACTGTTCCTAATGGCAAACATATACGGAGCTCTTTACCTTCCATCTGTTAGAATGGCCATCTAATGGATTCTGCATGTGTTAGCAGTAATATCAGTCTCATAAATCATCTTGTTTGATTCGGATTGAAAAATTCCAGAGACTGTGGCTTGTGTAACAGGGCTTCTTGGAATGCAAATTTCTCAAAGGGTTTTTTAAGAAGCTGCCTCCCAAAGCACAAGGTTTCCTCAATGGCACATAAAACCTTTTTTTAAAAAAAAACAAAAACAATTATCAATCTTAGAAAGAATAAATTAGGAGTCAAATTTTTAAAAAAGTACGGATTGTATTATTGCAAGTCAGCCCATTCCATCAGGTTGTTTTCCCCCCAGATAGTAAAATCACTAATCTGGCATCCTTATAATTAAATATTCTGGTTTCTGGCAGACAAGTTAGCATTAGGTTTGGAAGAAAGTGGAGGTAAAGGGTCCAAAGTTTTGAGGGTTTGGATTAAATAAGATACAAGGTGGTGCAATTTTCTGCAGAAATAATAAATGCATATATTGCTGATAATAATTAACACCCACAAGCTAAAAATAGTTCATTTTTTTCTCCTCCTCCTTGATTCCTTTATCTGATTTCTTTTAAACTGCTGGAACCATTCATCCTATTTAAAATCCCAGAAGTAATCTATGCTGCAAAACAACTGAACACCTTTGGGATCGTGGATTACATTATTCTTTATCTCCCAGTTGTCAGATTGAAACTACTCATTTTGGGAGGAGGGGGAAAAATGAAGGCCAAACACACTGACTACATATATTTTGCAACAAATACTACTTTTTGTTATTTTGTGTGCTGAATACAAACAGTGCTGCTTCTGAGTCCCAAATAAATTTAACTGGTTGAGAATGCCTGGACGTGACTAGTGGTAATTAACTCTGTGCACTGTAATACTCTAATTCTGCCTAAGCCAGTTCAGCACAGAGTTACTGATCTTTTTATGCCCTTAATGATTTGTGATCAGGTTATTTAAAGCCCTCTCTACATCCATGTGAAGTTTCTGGAATGTTAAGCTGGCTGTTTCCCTTTTGTG